TGTGATGGCCATTGACTGCCATTGACTCATGCCTTCGACTGCCATCGACATTCACTTGTATTTGTCATTGACACTTCTTTCGACTGCCATCGATGCCCACATTGGCGCCGCTAATTCCCATCACTGACACTCGCAATTGATGTTTGACTCTATTTTCGAAGCTTGTCGTCGACCACTACTAACGCCCATTATTGACCATTGTTGAATGACGTGAACTGCAATTTTTCATCATTCATTGCTGAGTAATGCCACATTTGCCCATGCTTCTCTGTTGTTGCCCACAATCAACTGACCATAATGTTCGTCATCTTTCATTGTTTTATAATTTTCTCCACTCATTGATAAGAGACTCACCTCACAGGTAGTTGTAGCCTCGTACTTTTGCCTTCTTTTAGGGCATATCATTGTAAGGTTAAGCTATATTATGAAATTATTTCAACTTGGCTAGACCATATAATTTTTCCCTTACAAGGTTTTGTAGTTGTGAACCGTAGTCTACTTATTTTTCTGTGCTTGGTCTTTGGATAACATTAAAATGAGATAGTCCCCTTTCTGCCAATGTAAATATTTTTGCATGTAGTTAACAATATTTATTTTGAGGTTATGTACAATCTAATGTATTGGCAAATTTTGGATGAGATGAACAAAGCAAGGACACTAAAGATCCAGATGGTAGTTTCCTAAATTTAATTAGGTAAAAGCTTCGCATCTTCAGATGAAAATCAAAATATGTAAAAGTTGTTCGCATTTATAAAATAATGATTGTTAAAAATGAATTTTTGTAAGAAATATAATAGTTAATCAAATAATATAATGATTAAGACCCACTAAGACGAAAGGCCAACTTACAGGAGATTTAACTGAAAGTCAATCATACATGCAATATCAATCACAATGCCTGCAAATGAAAAATGAATAAGGATAAAAGTCACGAAAGAGATCAGGCCTTATGTCGGCACAGTCTGAAAGTTTTACATTGAATTTGTCTTTAACATTTCTACTATTCTCAAAGAATTCACATTCAACAGCACGTACCTTTAAGATAATCTGATTTTTTTAACAAGATAATAAATTTTACATGCCTTATGAGTCTTATTTGTAATAAAAAAAACTTAAAATTGGTTATTTCTCAAAATCATTGAGTTAGCTTCGATCTCACAATCCTAATTTCAGTTACTATGTAAATAATGCTAAAATCGGACATCAGGAGAATAAGAAAAAAATGTAATAGCTACTGCCAGATGATTGAATTCTAGATTTAGTGCCAAAGTGCATGTCAATCCAAACCCAATCATAATCAGAGCCTCCTAATAGAGAATCTCTTATAGAAGGAAATGAGAGATCATAGGAAAAATAGGATTTTGAGTTCCATTTATGATGGAAATCTAATTGGAAGTGGATGCAATTTCTTCAAAATTAGCTAACTACAATATGAAATTAGGAAGAAAAACACACCAAAACTTGACCCACTCCTTCCTCGAGGGCCCACTCCCCTTGCCCAAAATGCCTCTCATAGTGGACGGCCGCTGTATTGCCTTCACCAAAAGATTTTCTCTTTGTTGTCCCCTCATCCAGGAACCCTGATCACCCCTTATCAGAGCTCCAGGAGGTGACACTTGATGAAAGAAATTCCCCTCGTCAAATTCTCTTGTCCGATTTGCCTTTGATTCGGCTAAGGAGATCCTGATCAAATATTGGTTAGGGTTAGCCATCAGAACCACTAGTGAAGTTTTTGTTTGTTTCTCCAAGAGCCTTCTTAACATCTCCTCCACCCTTTTAAATCAATTTTCAATGCGGTTTTTCATAGATGTAAATCTTTCTTTCATGGTAGAAAACTTCTCCATGCTGGTTTTGTATTGCTCTATATTACCTTCTAATGCCTCTATCTTCTTTGCTGCCCTTAATTGGATCTTGGCTCCAATTGCAAAAGCAACGAATATATATTATTTTTCCACCCAAGAAAGGGCTCTGATACCAATTTGATAGGAAGTGAATGCAATTTCTTCGAAATCAGCAAACGACAATATGAAATTAGGAAGAAAAACACTCCAAAATATTTTTATTATAAGATATATGAAAGAAAATAGCAATATACAGTTGGATCTTCAATTGGAGAGAAAGATTTGGCTCTCCCAAATCCCTAGCTGTCGGCTAGAGCCCATTCAATCTAAGCATAACTAATTCCAGCAAAATCAAGCATAACTGAACCCTAGGGTAACCAACTTATTTAAAGCATACAAAATATAGCAAATCCCAAAACAGCCTTCCCTTAATTCTCTCCAAAATCAACCCCAAATTTGTCCTCTTCAATTAAGAAACATCTTCTAATTAATCTCCTCCAAATCAAACCCCCTTTAATTAGAAAGCATCTCCTGATTAATTTCCTCCAAATCAACCCCCTTTAATTAGGAAACATCTCCTAATTATTATCCTCCAAGTTAGCCCCCAAATTTGCCAACTTTTCCTTATAAATTTTCCTCTCAAATTCAATTAGGAGATCTTTACTAATTAATTCAGTCCTTAATTCCCCCCTATCATAATAAATTATTACTTTTCTAGGCCCCACAAGGGGGGCCGAAATCTCCATGAATTTTGTTCAAGCTTCTGCCGTTGGACCGGCTTGTCCAACCTCCCTTGATCTACAGCCATAACAAGATCCTCTCAAATTAGCGGAATTATGAGTGTTGAAGCAACAACAAAAAACAACAACGATAATAATGGAGTGCGATCCACATGCTCTACAAAAATCCCATCTCTGTTATAATGCAAATTTATAGGAAAAGCAAGCAGTGTGGAATGTTGCATCAATGTGCTCAATTTGAAAAAATGTGCTCCACCAAATTGAGTATTTTATATTTGCTAAAGAAATTTGGCCATAATTTCTTCTTTAAAGTAATCTATGAATCATTATGACTAGGTTTGTCATACCAATGCATAAGACTTTGATATCTGCCAACTGTAGAGTATATATGATCTCATCATTGAAGATTGCATCTAGAATAAGATGACTAGACTTTTTTTGTAAAATTTTGGATGTGAATTCACAAGGAAGAGATGGAAAGAGTAAAGCATTGATAGCAAGTTCTTGAAATAAAGTCAAATCATATATATTGAAATTGGAATAATGCTAAATTTGTTTGGAATTTCCAATTTATAAGCATTTATCCCAATGTGTTTGTATGATTTTATATGGTCATGCCTTTCTAGCATTTAATACTTAAAGTTCACATAGGAAGCCTTTCAAAATTTAGACAGAACTTTACTTTTTTCAACTAATCCGAATTTCATATATCTCATGTTCATATCTTCAGTAGAATTATAAGTGACTCGATTTATTACGGACATCTTTATGCAAATCATACAAATAATAAATATGATATGAAGCAAGTAATAAAAATATTAAAATATTAATATCATCCTAAGATAAAAAACTAATGATTATCTTTAGAGGATGAGATGATAAACAAAAATTAAAGTAGTCAAGCCATATAAATATGAATATATGATATATGCATATGGACATCGAGCTCTTTAAAAAAATTAACCTGAATGTCTTAATGATTCTTTGTGATGAATTATACACTTTTTATATTTGATTGGATGGATAGAATTTAAAACTCCTAGTTTCTTTTAAGACGTTCATCGTCAACAAATTTTTTGAAATTATTGTCTCAATTTAGCGTTTTATTAAGGCTCCTGTTTTTAAATTTGAAAATCAAGAATAAAAAAAGAAAGTCAATCTCACTTTGATTTGTAATGAACTTTTTGTCAAAATTTTTAGTAGGACTTGAATCATCCTATTAGAATTCAGGTTCATATTCTAATTCCAGTTTTTATTTAGATATTATCTTAGGTTCAATCTAATTATCAATTTTAGTTTCTAATTTAAGTTTGGTTTCACAATTGATCTTGAACTCAAGTATGGATTTAGACCTTTGCTCGGTTTAGTCGAATGAACATTTGTTAATGTAGGTGTAGATCCAGATTCAACAAAATAAAGATTAAATTTATATTATAACTACAAATCAACTTTTCAGCTATTGCATCCTAAAACGAATATTTATGAACTATAATCTTGTGATTATATATATGTCATGCTTTAGAAGAGATGATAATGATTTTTCTTCTGGGACATTAAATATAAGTGCAGTAGTCTTAAGAGATTGATCACAATATTCTTCAACATCCCAAGCTCTGTATAAGGCCTCATGCAATTTATTTGGGGTGTTTTAGTTTAATGCATTTATAATTTATTTTCTTATACTTTTAATGAAATAGACAGTGATAACGTAATGGTTTAAAGATATAAAATCTATAAAGCTTGTATAATGTTCTAAAACATTACAATAACTTTATTTACATTTCTTAAATTGATCATTAAGTTGTTCTAAATATTCTCTAAATAAAAGATATTGTTTTGTAATCTTAAATATAACAATGGCACATTGTCAAAATTGTTGACCCGCCCTACCAGTTATGATTTAGCACAGTTAGCTCTTTTGGATGTGATCATATTATAATGTTAAAAATATTTTGCCAAATTATCTATCAAATTTGAAAATTCATAACTTCTATATCTTTTAGTGAATGCAAGTGTATAATTTAAAGCAATTGGTAGTTATAGTTATTGCTTGGAGCCATAGCTTCTCCTATTTTATTTATATTACATCTTTTGCTATTTGGTTAATTGACTTAGTTATTATGTTTTACTTTTAATTGGCATGATGATGCAATTTTAAGCCCTGATGCCCATGCCCAATTTGATACTGGATGTTCTAGGAGAGAATTCCGGATCAAATGATTTTATAAAAAAATGCTTTATCAAGTTCTTGACTCTTTATTAATTCTTTTTCTGTCAGTTAAACTAACGGCCATCCTAATTTTGGTATTATTCTAAAGTTCAGTGTAGTTACTAAACAAATCAATGTTGGATATTGTTCTTAACTTTTTTGTGGTTTAGGTAACCTCGGTTGTTCATCCTCTTTTCTTGTACTTAACAGTTTTTTTTGCCAGATTTGGTTGTCTTCTTCATCTGGGACGAATAGCATTGTTCATCAACGGCATTGAATCCTGGAATTAATACCCTTAGAGATTGTTGTTACAGATTTTATGGTTTGTTTTGACTATGGTTTTATGCATCCTCCAGATCCTTCCATAAGATAGGTATTAGTTAGGCTATGTTGTTCCATTAATATATTTTGGCCTCCAAATGGGTTCCTTTGGTGGTACTTCTGAGATTATTGAATCGAGGGAAGAGTTTAACTTTTGGAATCATTCTAATGGGCCAAAGCTACCACGAATTAAGCTGAGAGAAGGCGAAGGGAAATCCCATGGTTTTCATGCTGAGGATGACCTTCAACAGGTTATTGAAGCAATTGATCTCCGATTGTCACCCAAGGTGCTGGGCTTTTCCCGTCGGGTTCTTGGAGACATGCAGAAGAAGGATTTATCTAAGAAACCTATTCGCATTGGTGCATCGCAAGCATCTGGAATCGGAGTTTCTGAATCTATTACAATGAAACAAGCTCTGAGAAGATTATGCATCACGCAGGCATCAGAGCTGGCTGCAATGAAGAGGTCAAAACCAATCGGTTTATCCGGTGGCTCTGAAGCTGGTACAATTAAAAGTTTGTATACATCAATGGTTCTGGAGGAGAACAAATGTGGCATTTCTGTTGGTGACAGGAAAAGGAATTTATTTGAAATATCTATTGCTCCTGAAACTGTTTGCCTAAATTCATCTCATAATGGAATTCAAGTTTGTAGTTCATGTCAGTCAGAATTTTCTCGTATGGAATCTCTTGCTTCTCCAATTAATGCAGCTTTAAAACCAAATTTAACCAAAAAAAGAATCCAGTGTATCACAGCATCTCTATCAAAAGCTGTTTCTGCTCCACATAGTGCTGCTTCCACACCAAAAAGCTGTGGTCGCCCATCTGGGACAGCAGAGATAGATATAAAAAGAAAAGCATGTAAAAAAGCTTTCATGTCTAATCTTGACGAAAGAAGTGTACTGAATAAGCCTAGCTTAAGTCCTCGAATGACCAAAACAACAGCGAAAAGCAAGTTTTCCTCTAAGAAAGGCATTCAGGAACCATCACAGCCAACTGGGAGTTCTAATAGTTCTGTGAATGTTAATGAACCTGGGGAAGTTTCCAGTGAAGAAACCAAGTTGGGTTGCTTGAAGCCTGTTTTTGCAGCATCAGGTGCTATGAAGCCTGATGTTACTGTTGTGTGTAACTATCAATGCAGTCCAAATAATTGTGGTTTTAGAAATGCGACGGCTTCTAAACTGACCAATTATTCAAGGTCGAAAGAAAAGGGGAATTATTCACAAAGCTCTATGAGCAGCCTTGGTGATAATAGTAGTAGCACAAGCAATAGTGATGAGAGCAATCAAAGTGGCTCTAGTGTGGTTCGTCCTCACATGTCAAAGGATGTAAGATGGACAGCTATACACCAAGCTTTGAATCAGCATGGAGGCTTGGATTTAATGAATTTCAAACTAATAAAAAAGCTCGGCTGTGGAGACATTGGAACTGTCTACCTTGCTGAGTTAACTGGATCTGGATGCTTATTTGCCCTGAAAGTGATGGATGTTGAATTTTTGATCAGTAGAAAGAAGATCCTACGAGCACAAACTGAAAGAGATATCCTACAAATGCTTGATCATCCATTTCTTCCAACATTATTTTCATATTTTACAACAGACAACCTCTTATGCTTAGTTATGGAGTATTGTCCAGGCGGTGACCTGCATATCCTACGACAAAGACAGAATGACAGAAGGTTCTCAGAACCAGAAGCTAGGTATGCTACTATAAATAGCTTATTGGGCTTCAACCCAATTAATTCTAATTTAATTTCCGTTAGCTTATGGCGACTTTCATTTATTTATAGTTCCCTAAATTCTTAGAAGGAAGGTCAATGATGACTTGCTATGTAATGGGCTAGTTGGATTGGTATTTAGACCAATCCACTTAAACTTTTGTTGGTTTATTATTCCTTGAGGACATTACTAGATGAATTGTTTATTTAAGATTTATCTTTTTCAAGAAAGTAGACAGTGCTATGTGATTGCATGGCGTGAGTAAATTTTCAAGCTGCATGGTGTTATTATAAGACTGGAATGTGTTTCTGTTCCCCTTTTTATCACGAGCCTCATGAATCACACCAGTAAAACATGCAATACACACAAGTTATTGTTGAAATTAACCACATGACGAGAGTATGCGAGGATAAGGGTGATGCAGGTCCACTCAATTTGCTCATTATGGATTATTATGCGTTGTCTTCTCTTGGTAACTAATTAGCTAATAAATTACTTTTGTTATTATGCGTTGTCTTGTTTTGGTAATCATTTTCTGTTAGTAATGGTGTCACTAGGATATTGCTTTATTTCTCTCTTTGTTGTTGTCAAAAGAACTTTTTACAATTAATTCAATATTATATTATTGGTCTTTTCTCCTTTGTTTCATTCTTTCGTTTGGTGTGTTGATTGGTATCATGTTGATGAGGACATCCGACAGTGGAGAGTTTACCAGCGAAGAGGCCAAAGATCAACGACCATGAGTACACCTCTTTATTTCTAAGCTATTATTTGTATTTGATTTATTATTGTGTTTTTTCGATTTTACTGTCACTTGAGGGAGTAGGTTCATGTGACCCCAGGGGGCACTTTTGTCATTTGGTTTTACTATTGTATTTTGGCTATTTATTGCCACCTCTTCTTCTTGGGAGGGATGATGATGATGATTATGAAGAAAATTTCTTGCACTTGTGTTTGGTTAGTTTGAGAGTTTTTATGAGAGTTCAAAGTCCCTAGGTGAGAGTAGCGTATTACCCACCAGCGGCAGGAAGCATCCGGGCTCATGGTCCCATATCTCTCTCTTGGATGAACCCCTACACCACCAACCCTATGCCGGCCCCCCTCCACCTCTTCCCCTTTCTTTGTTGGCCGAACTCCACCCAAACCCTAGGCCGAAACCCCTCCTTCCTCCTAGCTGCTGGCCCAGAAACCCCCTCCTCTTCCTTCAAGCCGCCGGTCTCCCAAACCTCTTCCCCTTCTATCCGCCGGTCCAAGCCCCACACCCTTCCCCTAGCCGCTGGCCACACCCCTCCTTTGGAACCCTAATTTTCAAACACCTCCTAAATACTTTCCAAATTTAGTGTCTAATAATTTTGAAAAGTCATTGAATCAAATCCCAATCTAATTCAAATCCTAAATCTCTTTCTATTTAAAGATATGAGTTATATTAGGGAAGTTACCTTATTCATGCCAATTCAAATTTAATTGGTGATTGGATTTAAATCCTATTTCCTTAACAAGTAGGCAAGATTTGGCAAGTCTCTTAATTCCCCAAATCCCCTCCCCTATCCTAGGCATGGTCGGCCCCTCCCCTCCTCCTTTCCCTCTTTGTTTGGAGAATTCAAATTCAAACTTTTCCCTCCTCTCCACCCATTAAATCTGAAATTAAATTTTAGATTTTGAATTGCCTCCCTTCCTTTATCAATACACAAAATCATGAGTTATTTCCGCTCTCCCTCCTCTATGGCCAGCCCCCACTACCTCCCCCTCTCTACTTGGAATTAGTCCTTCTAACTCCTTTTCCCCTAACATTGATTCCGAAGGATTTCCACCTCGCAAAAACTGCTGTCCAGATTTCCTGGACATACAAATATTGCTGTCCAGAAATTTCAACAAAGACCGTTTGCTATCCCGCCGTTCGGAAATCCTTTGTTTGTTGTCCATAAGTTCCCCAACCCATAGTTTGCTGTCCACTCATGTATGGCTGATCCGAAACATGATCACAGCTTCGTTTTCGACGATCAAGGGTTAATCGACATTCTACGATCTCCATTCTTCGAAATAGATCTTGAGAATGATCACTCCTTCGAAGAGTACGTGGAACGCATCATCTTCTCCCTTGCAACCACTATTGATCAACGACAACCTCCCGTTCAGTGGCAACTCTCTTTTGAATCATGACAAAACTGAACTCTCTCCCTAGTTTTATTCCTTCCCAATCTTCCTCTGTTGTGGCATCATAAAGATTATGCAAGCTTTCTCTGCCTAATCAATTATTAAGAGTATGAGTGAGGGATTCTAATAGTGACTAGTCTAAATGTTAATTTAGGGATTTCCTTTGAAAACCTCCATGTAATGCATAGCTTGATTTGAATTGGTTATTTTGTGCTCCTAACGAATATCGTGTAACCAATTGCCTAATCTAATTGTCTCTTTATTGTGTTCAATCTTTCATTTAAAATTGCTTGAAGTTGAATAATTGTTCTTGCTCTTCGTCGAGCGTGTAATTTCCTAATTAAACATCAACATACGCATATAGTTCTACATCGCATTTAATATGGCTAAAGGCGAAAATAGTTTGGTTGGCAGCATTGCTCGTAGTTGGAAATAGCTCATGAAGCTCAACTCTCTATTTAGCAGAAACTAGAGATGCTATACATGAAATTTCAAGATTTGTTGCTCCGATGATGTGTAAATTTCACAATTTCAAGAATAGTTGTAACCTCACCCCAGCAACCACACAATTTGAGGTAGTGACCTTGCCAACAAAGCCATTGTAGTATGTTGAGCTCCGCGGTGTCCCTGCCAACTTGATGTCCTAGCATCGCTGAACTTTTTTTTTTTTTTATAATTCTCACAAAGATTCGGCAGATTGTGTTCTCTGATTCGGAATTGGATGATGTGTAAACTTTTGAGGGGTGAAGGTGTTACTTCCAGGAGCGCAGACATAGAGACTTGTTTAGGGTGAATGATGCAGGACTAGGTATGATTTAAATGAATGCGATAAGAATTTGCACGTTTTGCATAAGAGCAATAATAATTAAAAACGTTAGCCAATAAACGATAATAGAAATCAAGAAAGAGGTAGCTCCGCTTAGGCCAAATCACATGCAAAAAGCTAAGATCACCAAACAATTAGAATTTTAACTGATGCAAATTAAGTAGATTTTCAATAGCATCCCTAGGTTAACAATGAAATTAGAAAGCATAAAAAAAAAACTCAAGCCCTATGCTTACTAAGCATTGGCATATAGCTTTGCACGATTCCTTGTGCTTGATTCACCACTTGCAAGAAAAGAAGATTAGGAGAAAACTAAATAGGAGAAAAAGTTCACCCTCGTCGTGGGACGGTGGTAATTTGCCACTGAACGGTAGAAAGCTTCTCTTCGATGGCTTCAGACAAGGTGAAGATAATACGATCCAAGTACTCCTCGGCGGAATGGTCTATTTCCGGATTGACGTCGAAGAAAGTCGACCGGAGGATGTCGACGAATCATTGCTCGTTGTAAACGAAGCAAGAGTCAAGATCGGGATCGGCAATGCATCGAATTCGTAGGGTTGAAGTATTGTAGGCGACGTCCTTTGCTTCCCTTAAAGATTCCCCTCGAAAGAAAGAAGTTTCTCTCAAGGATTCAAGTGGAGAAGAAGGGTGAGAGGTGGCCGGCCAAAGATGGGAGCTTGGGGAAGAAATAGGTTCAGATTTTGGAGAGGAAGTATTGAAGGAAATTTGGGAATTTGTTTCCCTAATTAATTCTTAAGTTTGGAAAGAATTAAAAGAGGCTAGGGGTGAGAGGGAGGGGCTGGTAAGAGAGAGGGAGGGTTTTTGAAATCTTTCCAAAGAGAGAAGTTTATAATTTGGAAAGAAATCAAGTGGGATTGAAAGGGGGCAGGGGGGGAGCATAGAGAGAGAGGGGGCCGGTGGTTTCAAAAGGGAAGAGGGAATTAGGGAAATGCAATTAAGGGTGTTTTAGACTTGGAGATTTAGAAATGTTTAATTAAATGCAATTGAATTTAAATTCAAATATGATTTAATTTTATTAGAAACTTTCCAAAAATAGAATTTCGAAATTTATGAAACAATTTAAATTCAAATTTGATTTGAATATGAATTAAATAGGTTGTCTAACTTAGAAAGGCGGAATTGGCAAGGCTTGATTACATGCTTGGATGGGGAAATTCCAAGGGGGGCCGGTGGCTAGGGTGAGGGGAGATGGGGTCGGATAGGGGTGGAGAGCTTGGGGTGCTAGCCAAAGGAGAAGGGATGGTGGGCTTGTGGTTGGCCGGTGGTGGGGGGTTTGTGGAGGTGGCCGGAGGCTTAGGATTGCAGGTGGGCTGTGGGGATCGAGGGGAAGGGAGGAAGAAAGAGGAAAAAAAAAGAAATTAGATGAAAATAGCCACGAAACTGGACTCTTCCCAGGTTGGTGGGTGATTCGCTTTCCTCTCCAAGAGATTTCTCTCCAAAACCTCTCAAGCTCTGACAAGAACTCAATATGCAGAAATTTGATTATAATTCATTCATTTACCTCCAAAAGAAATATAAGGGGCTATATATAGCCTCATACAATGAACGAAAAAATAAAAAACGACTTAGCCCTTTGGGCTTACACATGACAAACCCTTAAGGGTAAAAAAGTAAATTCAACTAAAACAAATACATAAAGCAAATAAATAAAACAAATACATATGAGGACTCAAAAGTAGATCGGCGTAATCATGGTCGTAGATCGGCGGTCACGTCTCTGATATATTTTCCATGATTTGATGTCCCCATCAGTGAAGTTTGATATTATATATTTTTATGGACACCTATTGTAATAATTGGCTAGACTGATTCAACCGAACCGGTGCAGTACATCACTTAAGCAAGAGAGCAAGGGAGTGACCGAGATTAGGCCGAGTAGTGTGCGGGCTAGTGAGTGAGCACAACCGGGTGCAGGTGGTGAATTGAGCGTGAGCAAGCAGATGCCACTCATGTGATTAAGCGCAAAATTATATACTTTCA